GTTCTTATTACGCAATTCTATGTACTTACAGTAAATTCGTCTCGGTCGAAAATTTATTGTGAACAAATTGCAGATTTTCTTTAATGGTAATGATTAACAATGATTGTAGGACCTACTAATTAGTTTGAATTCCGCAAAACATTTTTATGTGTCAAATAAGATCATATGAGTTGGGAATTCACACTGATTACCTCGCATCAAAATTATAGGACCGAATAAGATTCTTATATGCATAAAATTGTTGGTAAACCAGATAAAGTCCCATATAATGAGGATGACAGTAATATCAATCTTGGCTGATCTACAATTGTAGATCCTCCTACGTACAACTGTGAGAATACACTTTTGATTGGGTTAGAACAACATATAAAAATAATCCTAATAAATTATTGTTTTTAGTAGCTTTTCCATAGATCCTTAGTTTGTGATGAAAATCATCTCAGATAACATTTAGCCCTTCCATTTTTACGACATTAATAGACTACTGTCTTTTAAGCCAGTAATATAACAATTGTAGCAAAATAGTTTTGATGCAAGTAGCTTTACATATTGTTCTTAGCTTATTTTTTTCGTTCTGTATTCGTTTAGTTTATCATTAAATAACTTTGAAATCAACTCCTAATAAAGATTCTAACAATAAAAGTTCATTAGCCAAATGTTATATTTCAGTAAAATACACCTATGATTTGGTTCCTAACAAAATACAAATCCCTTAAATATTCAGCTTGAATTGTAAAACCGTTATATTCACTATGAGCAAAGTTGGATAATGGCTAGTAACGTAATCCAGGACAAGAGTTTCGCCCTAAGTGGATAACGTGATGACATTTGAAGCGAACAGTACTGAGTTCCAGTCCCAGAGTAAACATCTACTCATGCAGGTACATTCAGCTGAAGATTCCCAAATTGGATAGAACATGCTTCCTGGATTCTACTGCTAGTCACTATCCATCTTTGCATAAAATTGGTTAAATTGTTCTGACAATTTTCTGCATATAATTTTATAAGATCAAGAATATTTTATTCAAAAATTATGGGTGAACTCTCTTTCAAAATATTAATTTCATCATACAAACAAAAGATAAACGATAGAATTCAATAAATATTGCTGACCATATTTTATGACGCTTGCCCAATAACTCGAACTAAATGACTTCGAGAATGAAGACTGATTGAGAATAGACTCAAGGGTAATAAAGTTGAACGATCATCACGAAGCAGAACGTCATGGATTCGACATTGATACCTTTGAACACTCATGAAGAATTTAAAGGTAAGACAAACCAACTCTCTAGTGTTTTATGGTTTTCAATGGTTACCTAATTGAAATCAATTAATTAAGTAAATCATAGGTAAAATAAAACATTCTTCAAGCGATTCCTTATAAAACATACGTTATGTGAATGTATACTACTGAGCAATATAAAAAATATAGATGACGATTAACTAAGAAAATTTTTAGTCTCCTAACCATTTATGTTTATTATTATAAGTTCAATTTATTTCATTTTCATTCCTTTTTGTAAATGAATCATACTACTTGTCGATATCTAGTAACTTATGTTATTTCAAATAATTCTTCTAATTTCTTTCCCATAAGTTATATGACATCTTCAATTGCTTATATGTGTAACATACAGTTAACCTATCATATCATAGTAATTCTATCTTATTGACATTTTTAGTAGTTTATCTTCAGTTCTTAAATTTTTATCAAATATATATCTTCAGAAGGAGGTTTTGTGGAGATTGTAGTAATGGAGAACCTGGAACAACTGGATGATCTTTTTGTCCTAGTATGGGATTCCTCAGCAGTGCGCAACCATGGTCTCGCCCGCTGGCCCAGGACCAATTGGTCTCGTTCACAAACGCCTAAACTCTGAACCACTAAGCCGGCATCCAACTGTGTTAATTTGTAACTTCAACCAATCCATTAATTGTGTATCATTTCGTTAAACTGAATCTTCACTATTTAATTTATATAGACTTTCAACTGTTTTGTAAGACCTATGTGTATGTCAATGTAGAGCTGTAATGAAGAACCAATTGAAAATAAATATTTCTTTGCTCAACTTATTCACCTTTTAATGTCCTATTGGGTTTACTCAATGAATTACTTTAGATTTTCCACGTATGGCACTGTAGGTTACATTTCCGTTTCTCGCCTGACTTTATTCATTCAGACGTGTCTAAGTTGTGTCACACTGTTGAATATTTTTCTTTAACAAGTTATTGTTACATAACCATTACAGGAAACACTTCCTTCAAGATTGTATATGACGCTCGTAAACGCCCTAAACATCTCATGAATCGAGGTTTGTAAACTGTAACGCTACTATTGTTTTGATTAACTGTACAGATTTTTAGATAAATCGTATGCCTTGGTTTGAAATCTCGGGGATTACCTAATTTTGTAATTAAGACCCTTGTAAGAATTTTATAATGATTATACATCACAGGAGCTAAATGTATTCCACCGTCTTTGTTCAGCATGATCCATGAGTGGATCACTATATGCCTAAACTGGACGTTGAAAACTCCTTACCCTTCTAAGTTTCATTTATGTCCTACCCCGTGCTTGATTAATCCATTTATCTTACCTAATTTATAGGGACTTCTTATCATAGTTACCTTGACAACAACTTTCTTGTTACATATGATCTTCACACAACGTTCCTATTATCATTGCTATCGTCATTATCCAGATAAGATCTTCCTAATATGCATTTTATTCACAAGATTTATTTCATCTTTTTTTTTTGATTACTTGACACCTTGAAACAAATCATTCTAACTTTTTATGAATGACCTCAATCATTATAAATAACAAATTTTCCAAGTAATTATGCTGTAATGAATGCAAAAGTCCACCGTTTTGTAACACATTACATTGTTTAATTCACTAATTTGTTTTATTTTGGCCATAACAGAATAATTGCACTTAAAGTAATTAATCGCTTCTATAAATTTCAATAAAACAGTGCAAAGGAGGAGTTGATCTGAAAAATGGATGTATGTATGGAATGAATGTATAACCTGGTTACACATAAAACCACTAATAATAATAGTAATAATAATAATAATAATAATAATAATAATAATAATAATATACGTGTCATGGCATTTTATCTGAAAATTAATAAAGGTCAAACGAATGAAAGTTCGGGTAAACAAAGTGATAAAGTTAACAGTGGAATTCACAAGTCAATCTAAGCTAGACCATCACGACCGTTTCGTCGTAGTATGGGACCCCTCAGCAGTGTTCATCCAAGATAATTGTAAATAAATAAAAAGGAAAGCCAATATAGTATTAAAAGAATAGGAAATCGTCGCATAATCGCAGTCTATAATATGACTTAAGGATTTCTAGATCAAATTCAAGGTTATAGAAAGTCGTTTTTACGAATATTAAAAGCTTCTATCAACCATAGAATTCATCCATAAAGATGTCAATTCTGTGCCCTGTTTTATGTGCTTTGCCATCGATGAACTTGGTTTTCTACTTCCCAAGTTTCAAAGTCAACTAGAGAGAGAGCCTTAATAAGAAGTTATTGCGAATTGATTCCCTAAAACTATTTTAAAAACAGTTAACGGAAGAAGATCCCGGTAAAACTTCTTTTTAAAGTTACTATTAATGAATATTAGCATTCTATCCCATCTATCCCATTGGTAATCTGTAATTAACGAAATATTGACCACTTTGACTTGTTAACCATTATAGTAAAGTGAGGACCAAGGAATATCTGAAGAAAAGTTAACGGTACGACAACTAAATTCCACCAGTTTGATAAATCAATATACCAAACTTATGTAATAAAGGCGAATCTTAATAGTTTAATTATAGTGATTGTGTTTCAGTAATGAATTGATTGAATGAATTGATTTTCACCACTAATTGATATGAGTTATATATTTACATTGAAAGCTTAAGAACGCTGGATAACTGTTTTGTCATTTCTACAACATATAAACAATGCGAACCCCACACAAGAAACTCGCTTATCGTGGCAAGAGCTTAACCTTCGGGGAGTCAAATATGGACTCAAAAATGTATGTGTCCAACTCTACTCAATTCTTGCTAGAGCATTATTATCATTTTATTATCATTGATGCATAAATATCTGACTCCTAACATCGTCTATCCGTTTCACCAGTTATGAATTCCCACTAAATATTTGAAAATTACCTCAAAAAAACCCTCTTGTTAATACATGATTATTTTCTTATTTAGATGATTTTATGGTGAATAGTTTAATTTATAGATGATTCACCCTAACTTTATTTTTGTTTGTGTTTAATTGGTTTCTTAACAAAAGTATACCATCAATGGTTAGACTCAGACAAATAATACCAAATGAGTTTAAAATTCGCTCCATTACACAAGCAAGTGGCAATCACGACTCAGTAGCTAAGTGGATAACGCAATGGCGTTTAAAGAAAACGGTATTGGGTTCGAGTCCTGGAGTGAATATCACCTCTGAGAGGCAGGTACATTCAGCCGACAACTCTCAAATAGGATGAAACGTGCGTCCTCCATTCCACTGCTAGTCACTTATAACGCTTGTGAATTATAGTTCAATGAACTGACTATATTCTTTCTTATGAAAAATCAGTAAATAACCTAAAAAATAAATGAAAGAAAGCGAAAACGAAAACGAAAAGAGAAGCTTTCATCATCTCACGTGTTTTATTTTATTTGCATGATCAAACTAAATCGAACCACAAGTCACCTTCATTCATTCAATAAACAAATAAATAGGCATAGTAACATACTAACAAAATAACTATACTCTTTATTATTATTAATAATAATAATAATAACAAATTCATTCGTTCATTTTTTTTCTTATAGAAATACATTTTAACTCACAATGAAATTTTAGAATTTATTTCAACCAATCAACGATTTTTATTGATTAGGGAAATGAATTTCTCCTAACCTTCTTAAGGTCAGTAGTCTATTGAGAAATGAAACTGGAATAAAATGAATAATGAAATATTATAGATTGATTGTATTATACATTGAGATGAATTCTATAAAGGAATAATTTATCATTTAAGTAAGTTATTCATTCAAATTTAACAGAATTCATTCTTTATTATAAATAGATCATTGATGTTGTTTTATTTGAATCATTCCATTGATGTTTAGGTCAGTCTCATGTTGCCATTTGTATATCCTGTGAGTAGTGCCTCGATGCAAAGATGGATAGTGACTAGCAGTGGAATGTAGGACGCACGTTTCGTTCTATTTGGGACTCGTCAGCTGGATGTACTTGCATCTCAGAGTTGATGTTTACTCTGTGACTCGAACCCTATACTGTTTGCTTCAAACCCCATTGCGTTATCCACTTCGTCTCAAATAGGACGAAATGCGGGTCCTGGATTCCACTGCTATCTACTGTTCATCTTTGCTTAGAATACCATGTACTAACTGTATCACTTGGATATCAGGTTTTATGATCATCATATCTGATTCAAATTGAATTTTATCGACTAAATTTATCCAAACCGAAATATTATGTAATACTTGTAGGTTTTATAGATTTTTAAAAAAAATCATGATTTTTACAAAATGTAAAGTTAATAAGATCTAGTTTACATAACATAAATCTGATTCAATTTAGGTTAACAACTTACACAAACTCAAAGGAAACAAATTTTCTCTTGATGGTTTCATTATGTCTCCAAAATGATGATATAAAAATTTATGACGTGACATATCTATAAAATTCTATTACTTAAGATCATCAGTCCATTGAAGCTAGATCACCATAGAAAACCTGGAATCACTGGATGACCGCTTCGTCCTATTGTTGGACTCCTCAGAAGGACCTATCGGTCTCACACGCGAACGTTTAACCTCTAGATCACTGAGTCGGCATCCGATGATGTTAATGTCTAACTTTAACTAATCCACGAAATCCACTCATAATCTCAACTACTAAAATTACTATAATATACCAATAAATGAAGGTGTAGTGGAATATTTAAGTTTATTCATTAGAATCCCTAATTACATGTTATATTTACTTTAAGTGGGTAACATTTAATCATTCAAATTGAATTAATAATCATGTTTATCTGTAAGAATACAATATTAATTCATTTACAAAAAGAAAGGGAGAATAAGAGTCTGATTGTCGAATCAAAACTAATGGTAATGATCTATTAAAATAACATTTCAAAACACAAAGTAGCTCAGTAGTTCATTATTGTAATGTATTTAAACCAAGTCCAATGATCATCAGATGAAATTGCTTATCACAATGTACATTACTCGGAGTTATTTTTGTTCTTTAAAATAATCCCACAGATGACTTAACTAACATTGAACTAGTACAAGATTTTGTGTGATGGAATATGTATGTTTGTGAGTGTTTTTAAAGATTTACTATCTTCATAATGATAAGCCTATCGTACATTCAATAGATTTAAATTCTGATCTGATTACAAACAAAAAGTATATTGCAACAAACCTATAACCGAGTTCCATTGTAGTGGCATAACCTCGTTAATCAATTACCTCGATAACCGTATTTACATGAATCTCAACGGTGTTTGAAATCAAAAGGTGATGAGAAGAGGCAACTACAAATTATTAGCGGATAAGCGAAGATTATAAAGCTATAAGCACATCTGAAGCAGAGAGGCGAATATGTATACACGAGAAATTACATAGGCAAATTTATAGTCAAATCGCATAACGGCACAGTAAGGCAATGCAAAAGCTGATAAAAGGATTTGAGCACATACACACATGGGGAGGAGGATGAATCATGGAGTGATATTTAAGCAATAAACATTTTAGCTAAAGTCTGCCATGTGATCATAATGGCACAAAGAAATATGCAAATTGTTATTGTTCGAACAACATTGTCTGTTAAGTAGGTTAATAAAAGGGCTTAACCAAAATTAAGTATAATCGAAATTGACTGTAGATGGTTGCTATACGATGAAAAGAGGAATTTTTATAAACGACGATTTTCTTTATCTTGACGCTTACAATAATAAAACTTAGTAGCACATTACATTAGGATCAACTGGAAAATGAACTCATTCGAAGGTAAACAGACAATAAAACAATACGCCACTTGGTAGCATATTAATATACAATTTGAACAGAAACTATATCTGATTAGTCTTTCTTAAAAGCAGTTGATGAACAATTTCAGAGTTAGGTCCACTTTAATTTCTCTGGAAATTACAGGAAATCGTTGCACATTTAATAGGTGTTAACTTTGTTTTGAACATTCTAATTGAACAAGACAGCTATCAAGATCAGAGTAATGCATTTTCAGTGAAATGAAATGAATTACAATAATGCTAAGACAAGATAATCAGAAAGATGTCAATATGTTACGAACTATAGGCTCCAAGTAATTCCGCTCTTTTTAATTATTCATCTGTGTTGACAGTGAACATTAGATCTGCTTTGATATGAAATAATACATTACTGTAGTAATTTCTGTTACCTATCGCTCCATAGACCTATTATGAGCATTACTTGCTCTTTAACTAACTTTTATGAATAATAACGTTCCCTTAAATTGTTGCGAGCTTCATTGAAGTCGTTCATACATACACTGATGTTATCACATTGATTATATCACAACAACGAAGAGTGCGGATTTCAATTGACTATTTATTCACTCTTAAACTTTCCTAAAACATTTAACATCACAACTTTGAGTTGAAGCTTACTGAATGATTGATCAGAATTATTTTTCTGAATCCAAAAAACATATATAAGATAAGTAATATATACCATAAGTAGTCAACATTACTACATTGGCCATTGATGGGATGATATTTGGTGTGGAAATTTCGAAATCAACATGTGACATATGATAACCACGCCCCTGAACAAGCGAATAAACCTATTATTGTATAAACCTGTATTCCGATATATATATATATATATATATATATATATATATATATATATATATATATACTTAAAGTTGGATCTGATGTTATTATCCAGAACAATCATTAAACCATTCAATCCATAGAGAATAACACTATCAAATGTAACCAGAGAATAAGTAAATGCTTTTTTTAATATTTCAGAATTTGTGTGCATTTTCATTCATATGTTCAGCGTTATTAATGTTTATAATCCAATATATTATCAAGAATTTATTCTTTTCCATTTACTCTCTTCCTCATTTTTAATACTAAATAACTTTTTGGTTGATATATTCTTATGACATCAATCACCTTACCATTTGATGTCACGGATATATTCAGTTTCCCTGCATTACCATGAATTTCATCGTTATTATTCATCCTTTTTATGCAGAATACATCAGTTATTGTTTAACAGTGATGGAGTCCGGGGCATAAATTGCGACAAGTAACTATTACGTTGATCACTACTCAGTGATCAGTCAAGTTTACACTGTATTTCATTGCACCAAAAATATGTAATTCTATCTATCTATCTATCTATCTATCAAAGGTATTTCTTTGCATATATTGGCAAACACTTATTGATTGTGGAGGCAGTTTAAATTAGACTCTGCAAAACGGAAATAAATTTCTGCACCTAACTCATTACTTTGTTTCAAGCTAACCAAAAATTTTACTCGCTAAATAAATCAATTTTAACGAAAGACACATGTGATTAACATGAACATATAAACATCTCGGAGAGTTCAAAAAACCGTAGGTATGATTTTCGTTACAGTCTAACATCCGCTATGATTGAAGAGATTACGAGTTCATCTGATAATGGAACTAAGACTGTGACACAATGACTAATAAGCCAGATATTCCGACACGTCCCAGCCCCGCTAACTAAAGAGTTCAGTTCATAGAAACACTTATCTATAAATAATATCATAATAAATTTAATATGAAAGTGAATTTTAGTTCAGCAAAAATCATTTTGGCTTTCAAAAAGTTTTTTTATTCTTTCCATAGTAATGTAGACTTTAATTTAAGCAACTTTTAAAACCATTGCGAACATGATATGGTTGATACTAAATATGTGTTATAAGCAAAGATTGGTTCTAGTCCCAGAGCAAACATCAAATCTCAGATGCAGGTACGTCCAGCTGACGGGTCCTAAATAGAACAAAACGCGCGTCCTGGATTCCACTGATAGCCACTATAGAGCTTTGCTTACAAAGCTTGTTACTTCAGGCAGTATCTGGGCAGTCCGCACAGGATTTACATGTGCAATCGGAAGATATAAATAAACAACACCAAATGAATAAATATGTGTTATCCTATACAGTGAAGTTTTGAACAGTAAATGTCTCAATGTTCTGGAAATCATTTTGAACAATGGAACTTCACGAAGAGATCAAATTAGACCATTGTAAATCAAATATCAATTTATAAATTAGTCTCAATGGTTAAGATCATGAGTCTAGCTTCAACTGACTTATGATCTTAACCATTAAAATTACTATAATATTCACAAAACCCATCTGATATAAATTAATCGTTAAAATATTGTTCACAGTTAGGAAGTTCACAGTATTTGGACAAGTATTTCCGAAATTCCTATTGGTTAGGACATTTTTTTCTAGTCATTCACAGTTGAACTTGACACTTCTTGGAATTATACACTGGTAAACAAATCGATCGTGTTTTTTTCGGAAAGTGAAGTAAGCAGTCAACATTCCAGCATAGTAATTGATCTTGTTCTGGGCAACCATTTCCAGTTCTCACCAGTTACTATTCATTCATTTAATGTCTGTTTCCAACTCCCGATGTAATGTGGTCTTTGGCCTTCCTCTTTTCCATTTCCCTTGAAGATTCCAAGTTAATGTTTACCTCGTGATGCAGTTTGATGATTTCCTCAATGTATCTTTTATCCAATTCCAACTTCTTTTACTAATTTCCTCCTCAGCTGGAAGCTGGTTTGTTCTCTCCCACAGTAGGCTGTTATTGATGGTATCCAGCCAACGGATATTGAGTATCTTGCATAGACAACTGTTTATAAATAATTGTACCTTTCTGATGAATGTTATAGTGCTTCTCCAAGTTTTTGCTGCGTATAGTCGGATTGTCTCGACGTTCCTATTGAAGATTCTGATTTTGATGTTGGCAGACAGACATTTGTTTTGAGTTCCATATGTTTCTCAATTGCAGGATTGTGGCCCATATCTTGCCTATCCCTGTCTTTAAGTCTGCATCATATCATCCATGTTCATCGATGATGCTGATCAGGTACATGAGATTCCACATCTTCCAGAGTTTCTTCACTCAGTTAGATTGAGTTGGTGTTTTGTATGTTGTATTAGTCGATCTTGCTTTTACTCTTCTGTGTGTTGAGGCCTACTGATGCAGAGACTGCTGCTACACTAGTGGTCTTCATCTGCATTGCTCGTGTGTATGAGATAGAAGGGCCAGGTCATCTGCGAAGTCCAAATCTTCTAATTGATTTCGAGCTGTCCATTGTATTCCGTGTTTCCTCTCACATTTCAAGGTCTTTATGATCCAGAAAGAGAAAGGAGGAGAGTAAGCAGCTTTGTCTGACACCGGTCCTCACTTGGAATGCATCTGTCAGCTATCCTCCATGCACGAATTTTCAGTGCAGTTTGTCGTATGAATTCCGGATGATCTGGCGATGTTCTCATATTTTCCCTCCTGAAGCTTTTTCCATTGTCGTTGCTATCACTTTCACATATTTCTGCTTGTCCACTGTAATGCTCCTCTTCCCTTGCTTTCTGGCTTCTGTGCATCCAGCTTGTGCCTTGACTTTCTCTGTTCTTGTTCGGCTGTTGTTAATTGCTGGCTTCTTGTTCTTCCTTTCTAGGATCTTGTCCAGGGTTTCCATAGAAATCCATTCCTTATGATGATGTTATTATCTCGAAGGAAGGCTGTAATGAACCTTTGTAATGCTGTTTGTCCAGTTGTCCAGTGCTTCTTTAGCTCCAATTTCATCTTGACAACCACCAGGTGGTGATCTGAAGCTATGTCAGCTCCTCTCCTGATTCTCACGTCTTTTATTGTCCTACCGAGTCTGTTATCATTACAAGTATGATCTAACTGGTTCTCCGTATTGTTAGCCAGCGAGATCCATTTAGCTTTGTGTATGTTTGTGTTAAAATATTGTGCCGCCTATAACAAATTTGTTGAATGTACAAATATTTGCAAATTATCATTCGAAAATCTTTATAACACAATGTTTACTACTAAGATAATATACTTCCATAATTTTCTCACTTTTTTCTATCAAGATTAACATTCATATTATAATCTTTTTTATTTAAAATGATTTATACTACTAAAATCAACATATTTAACTATTGACAAAATTTATATTTTTGTCAAATTAATAACATTCATGTATAGTGTTCAGTCATCATTTATTTATTTATTTAAACATATAAACATAGGTACAAGAAGTCACCAAATAGATATACGCCACATAAATCATCTCATTTGTGTGAGGGCTGGGATACTGCCCGGGTGCCAAAACCGAAGCAGATGGTTTTCTTAGCGGACCACACCTTAAAGGTCTGATTCACAAGGCAGTGGAGCAACATCAGTAGATGCAGTTCCATAGTGGCCTGTGACCAACGATTGGTTCATACGCCATTCATTCCTACAGGATACTGAAGCCCATGTGCATCACTGGTTTAGAATCAAGGTTTTCCAACTCCCCCAGGTGGACTCTCCGTGTCCACCAATACTGTTAAAGCGTCGGACATTCGCTTTTCTTCCTCTTAATTTCGTAAACAACACCACCGCAGTGGCGAGAAGTCGGTGTGTAGGACTTCCGTGACAGTGGTTGTATGCACGTGGTCATGTGAGAGAATTTTTAGAGGGAGAGCTGACACTCTCCACTCTCGACCGTACCGGATCATTTTTTATTAAAACTAATAAGTTATTCTATTTGAACAATTACACATTACGTAATCATTTCTTTTATTTATTTAGTTAACGTCAAAATTTATGACTTGAACAAAGTTGTTGAAATTTTATTCACACTTTCATTATCTCATTCTTATTGAAATATTCATCCTTCAATGATTATCATAATAAAATAATAAAAAGATAATACAATCATAACACTTAAACAATGATTTATATTCCTGGATTAATTGCAATCATTGTATTCTATCTATTAATATTATTTGTTGGATTATGGGCTGCACGTAAAGGAAAAACTAATGATTCTTCTGGAACTGATACAGAAGAAGTAATGTTAGCTGGTAGAAATATTGGTTTATTAGTTGGTATATTTACAATGACAGGTAAGTTGATAAATTATTTAAATGTATTCATTTATATAAAGGTATGATGTAGAACTGACCTTAGAGATTAAACTACGAATAGTCAAGTTCCATAGAGAGCATAAAATTTTTAGATGCATCTTTCACGATTAAAGGCTTTACATTTTCAACTAGATAAGCATGACCATTATCATATCCCCTCAGTGTTATATATTGTACTAATGAGACGATTGAACTTCATCAATCATGGTTTCATAAAACAACTTTTAAAAATTTTTTGTCAAAGTCGGTCAGTAGTGGATACATTTATATCATTAGTAAAATAGGAAGTTCGTTCAATTTTATATAATCTAGAAAATCGTTTATACCTCAGTCTTTTTTCGCTACTTTATAAGCCGATGGCCAAGTATCCTAAATTTTAGGCCTATAACCTTATGCATAAGGGATTTGACCTCTGTTATACTAAAATGAAATACAATCAAATAGTAAGACTACCCTTTTTAAGCAAAGATGGATAGTGGCTAGCCATGGAACCCAGGACGCTCTTTTCGTCCTATTTGGGACTCGTCAGCTGGATGTATCTGCATCCCACAGTTGATGTCCACTCTGAGACTCGAACCCAGTACTGTTCGCTTCAAACGCCATCGCGTCATACACTTAGATACTGAGTCCTCATAGCCAACAGCTTGTGCAATAGGGTCCCACAGTGAACATCAACTCTGGGATGCAGGTATATACGGTTGACGCGTCACAAATAGGACGAAACGGGAATCCTCGATTCCACTGCTAGCCACTATCCATCTTTACTTAAAAAGCTTATGACTTAAGGTCATATCGAGGCAATCCTCACAGGATGCACATATGCCAACATGAGATTGATCAATTTCAGTTCTAAATAACAATAGGAAGATACGAGTAAAATAACACTAAGTGAAGTAAGATTACCCTTTAGAAATAAACATTTTAAATTAGCATTAACTTATAAACTTTTATGTTATATCATCATTTTGACAAAAAATATGATACTTAAATGCTAATCAGATAATGGAAGTTATTTATTTTATTTTATTTATCCATTCAAGTAACGCAATACAACATGCATTCAAAGGTGCAAAGATTTTTTTTTAAAAAAACTGACTTTATTCGATTCAAAGAAGGTACTTAGATACCTAAGGTAGACAATTAGGCATAACCAGTTGTCAGATGGTATGTATGTTAAATGACAAATTATATGTATTTGAAATAAGATCATTAAATCATTCATACCTAGTGAACATTTGTCGAAACATTAGAAGAAAAATTCAACTGTGAATCTCTTGATATTTAGAACATAATCAATTGAATTTATATCAGAAGGGTTTTTGTGGATATTATATTAATTTCAATGGTTGAGATCATGAATCAATTGAAGCTAGACCACCATGGAAAAGCTGGAAGCACTGGACGGCCGTTTCATTCTATTGTGGGACTTCTCGATCCCCCGCAGGAGATTCGAACCTAGGACCTAGCGGTCTCGCGCGCGAGCTCTTAACCACTTTGAGAAATAATATAACGGTCCAGCAGTAAATGATGCTAATAAAAAGTAGCTTGCATATATGACTATCATTAACTATTATTAATTTAATGAATACAAAACTGAGTAACATGTGTTTGAATTATATATTGGCTATCATCCATTTATTAGGAATGAAAAGTCAGTTAGCTACTATTTCCAAGTAATGTTAGACCCTCGGTTAAATTTACTAATCGTGTATTTACGATTTCTAGAAATTTCAACACTATCTGGAAATATCGTTAATACAGTTATCTTTCATAATGGTTATGATGTTTACCGGTCTTTTTTTCTAATCTCTTAATAAAATTCCCTACTTTCCCCTTGCTTTCGATTATGTTATGACCTATTTGTCACATATTCTGGTCCCATCTATAAATTGTACGGTTCAAAATCATTTTATCTTTTTTCGCTAGTAAACCATGTTACTTAATACAAGTTACACTAATGATCACATATGTATAACTTTTTCTAATAAATTTATACGTATGTAGAAGACTTACAGTGTATGAAACATAATTCCCATTCACAATGTTTGTTGTTTATGCCTTAAAAATGTTTATCAAAAGAGACAGTTGCATAGGGTTGTAAATCACTCAATCAAAGATTCTTTCTCATTAGTCTGTGTTAGTCTACTTGTACTTTTTAACCTGGATACCTGAATGATAACCTCTCAGATTTTCGAACTTAGTGATATAAGTTCGAATCTTACTCGAAACATTAGCTCTCTCAACATTTTACAAGAGCATTTCTGATGAATGCCACTTAGCATCAAACCTAAATTATAGATTTCCTGCCAATTGTCTCCAATAACTTAATTGCTTAAAGAAAGATACAGACAAAGTGAACTTCAGAATTAAAAACTACCCTCAGTTTGCATATAACTAATACTTAGTTACGTACAGACTAACTGTGCTTCATTCTTCTTGTTATAAGATCATGTTATTCTCCACCCAATTGTTTCGTAACCATAATCCCTTTGTCTATAAATTTTTTCTCAATCAACATGATCCATATGAGTTGAATGCATAAACTTCATGAAGAACGAATATTTAACAATTTACTTGTTGCTGATATACTTTTAAAGTTCATTTCAGTCTTTATGGATATTTTAAATTTAAAAAAGCATATGAAGTAGTACGTTGAATTTGTTAGCTGTACATTGATCTTTAATTCTATTAAAACATGAAATCAACTTGTCGGTTGTTGGCTAACATTAACACTAAAATTTCTATTGTATAAATTTTTCGACAGAAAATATTTATTAGTTGAATTCATGAGTCAATCGAAGCTAGACCACCGCGGAAAAACTGGAAGCACTAGACGGCTGTTTCATCTTAGTATAGAACTTCTCAGCAGTGCGCATTCACAATCTCGTCTCAAGAGATTCAAACTCAGAACCTATCAGCCTTTCGCATGAGCGCTTAACCTCTAGACCACTGAGCTAGCCGGCATCAAACGATGTTAATGTCTAAATTCAACTAATCCAAGCGATTGCGCCACCGTCCACTATTGTCATGAGTGAGTTACTATCTCACAAAAAACCCGATGCTTCCAGATTTTCCATGGTGGTCTAGCTTCAATTAACTCATGAACTCAACTACTAAATTACTATAATATCCAAAAAACCCTATCAGAAAATATTTATTTTATTGAATATTTGATAAAATCAACTTAGTACAATCGCAATTTTTGTACTTTATGCTTAGATATTTACAGACCTATAAAAGTGAACAACTCAACAAATAATATGAAAGAAAGTGAATCAAATATCCTTCCCTATATCTGATTGGTTTTCAATTAGATTCTATTCTATTATTTAAGAAAAATTATGTTGCCATTCGAAGAGACTAACATTTATTGATTACCAATTTCTTATAAAAGTAAGTAGGAGATTAAAACGTAAATAGAACAGAGAAAAAGGAGAAGGAATAGAGAAGTTGGTTTGTCTCAATAATAAACTAAAATAAAAGATTAAAATAGATTAAAGTATTACTAAGTATATGTTCTGTGTAAGCAATTTGTTCGGTGTGTGTGTGTGTTTACTTGAGTTTCACAACACATGTTACTTCATATTTGGTTATTTTTAGGAAATCTATGTCAAATAACTGCAGATGATACTAGATACAAACCGTTTGGAAACTCATGGTGAATCATATGACCACTTATTGAAACTCCTCAAATTTTCATTCCCTCTCTAAAGCAAGATTTAGTGTGATATCGTTATAAATATTACACAAATTGTCGCTACCGTTGATAAGTTAGCTAGGATTATTAAAAAAACCTTATCATTTGAACTTGATATAGAGTTTTCCGTTCGTTGACTTGTATCCTACTATTATTTTACTACTTACAATTATTGTTGTTTTTACTACTGTTCACACTAACGAGTTCCCATATGTAAATATTTTATCTAAGTACTGTGATATTTTTAAAATCAGTCATGATTATACGTCTATATGATTATGGAATTATTTTAGCTACATGGGTAGGTGGCGGCTACATAAATGGAACAGCTGAGAACACTTATAATCCAACTCAAGGTCTTGTTTGGTGTCAAGCTCCAGTTGGATATGCGCTAAGTTTAGTAGTGGGTAAGTGAATTCGTATAAAACAATTAAAACCACTGTTCTTAATAGACAGTTTGAAAGTCCTTACTTGATTCTCCTTGGCTTAGAACTGTTTAGTTGAACTTTTAAGAATATTCTAAGAAACTTGTCACTTGAAGTTGAATGTCATCAATCAAAAATTTTCAACACCAGAATATTGTTTTAAAGTTCTCTTTTTGTTAGGCACCAAAAATCCATGTCGCTTGTGAACTCGTTCGGTGCTTGAATGTACGCAACAAGTCGATAAACTTAATGCGTTAAACTGTCCTTCTCACATTGAATCATGAACGTTTGATATGAAAAGGGATACTAGAAGGTTGGAGTATATATTGTTCAGTTAATATTGCTCATGCATAAAATATGCAATCTGCGATCATTATAGGATTCATTTTGTATTACCAAGGTTTTCTGTGAGGCTATTCGATGTAAGAAATGATAGTTCTAACATTATTTTCTTATGAGAAGGGGTTTTGTGGAGATTTTAGTAATTTACTAGTTGAAATCATGAGTCAATTGAAGCTAGACCACCATGGAAAACCTGGAAGAACTGAACGGCCGTTTCGTCCTAGTATGGGACTCCTCGGCAGTGTGCATCCACGATCCCACCCCGTCAAGCGCGCGCGAGCGCTTAACCGTTGGACCACTGAGCCGGCATCGAACGATGTCAATGTTTAACTTCATCCAATCCACGAAAATCAAGCGAGTAAGCGAGTTAGCGTGCAAGTCAAATGAGAGAGTGAGTGTGAACAGGATTAAGATGTACATATTATATTTACATAGTGAAATGAATGAATCATCGAATCAACTAAGCGACTAACAGTTCGGCTGGCAGAATGAATGAATATATGCGTAGGCAGAAATCAATGCTCAAGCATACATATTCATACAAGTGTAACAATAATAAAGGTACAATAGTATAGATAAGTTTTCATTGTACGAGTGTCGCTGTCCATTAAATAAATTAACAAAAGGGCTTAAATGTAAACAAACTCAATTGTACGTGAGCTGCTATAGTGTGTTTTCATACAAGCATGTCAACTTTCACAACAAAGTGATCATTATAGGAAACATGTTTAAAACCTTCAGGATGCTAGTGATTATGAAAATATCTATTTGATAGGTAAGTTGTACTGAAAATAACTCGTCTAGTTCAAATGATGCTAATAAAAGTTTTGTAATACTAAATATGTTAGATGGTTCTAGTTTATAGTTCGTACTTTAAACACCATATGCATTGTTAATAATACTCTGATCTTTGTCAATTAGGTGGTTTATTCTTCGCTAATCGAATGCGTACATTGGGTTATGTTACAATGCTTGATCCATTTCAAAATAAATATGGTGAGCGCATGTGCGGTCTGCTTTTTATTCCAGCATTACTTGGTGAAGTATTCTGGACAGCAGCTATTCTATCTGCACTCGGTAAGTAATTATGAGACCAGTGGCAGTCATTAATCAACCTGTTCGTTATTACCGATAAGTCTGTTTTTCTTCTAGTCTTATCGAACTCATTAGGGTAGCAAAAGCGAAGATGAATGATTTCAGTAACTTCATTATATAGTTATCGGTGCTAATTTGAAACTCAACGAAAATAATTATCTCCATTGTATTGCTATAAACATCTGACCATTAAACCAGTAAACAACATAATTTATTAGAAGAATCAATTGAAATTACAAATTCCTTATATTTGAAAATGATCACTCCTAACCAGGGATCATTCGATAACTGGTTTATTTTCATTGCAAATTTTGGTCTTTTGATCAAACTAATCATCGAAACAACCATTCAAATAAACAAAATATTTTCATATTTAAATATAAACGTTATACACATCAATATACATTGAGTATGATTTTTATTTTAACTATAGGAGCTACATTAGGTGTGATAGTGGATTTAGATCAGAAAACTTCAATCATTCTATCAGCTTGTATTGCGTTGGTTTATACATTATTTGGTGGATTATATTCCGTTGCATATACAGATGTTGTGCAGTTATTCTGTATATTCCTTGGCTTGGTAAGTTCTAGTTTGTTATTTGTCTTACTTTGCATGAAATATTTTAGATTATTGGTTAAGTAATTTGTAATTTACACAAACCTAATAGACAAATTTTAAATAGGTATTGATTGAGATCATGAACCAATTAATGTTAGACCACCATTGAAAACCTGGGAGCACTGGACCACCACCTCGTTCTATCGTGGGACTCCTCAGCAGTGCGCACCCATGATCTCACTCATGGGATTCGAGCCAAGGACCTTCAGTCTCGCGCGCGAACGCTTAACCTACTAGACCACTGAGCCGTCCGGTATCCAACGGTGTTAATGTCTAACCTCAACCAATCCATGTGCTCACTCGTGACTAGCTTCGTGAGGGAATTCTCGGAGTTCTGGTGAGAAGCTGTTACCAGTGGAGCTAATCCGTGTTGGGTATAGATAGGTGTCTACCTCAGTAAAATGGAAGACGGTCGCGCAGTCTCGTGGATTGGTTGAGGTTAGACATTAACACCGTTGGATACCGGACGGCTCAGTTGTCTAGTAGGTTAAGCGTTCGCGCGCGAGACTGAAGGTCCTTGGCTCGAATCCCATGAGTCGGATCATGGGTGCGCACTCCTGAAGAGCCCCACGATAGAACGAGGTGGTGGTCCAGTGCTTCCAGGTTTTCAATGGTGGTCTAACATTAATTGGTTCATGATCTCAATCAATAACGTATAATCTCCACAACTCTATATTGATAAATAGGTGTTGCTTTTTTCTGAATATAAAGAAAACAAGTTAGCTAAATGAAGTTGCTGAATATATTCAACAACTTGGGAAAATTGTCTTCATTCTAAAAAGGAAGTTACTTTTAAGCTAGGGGTTTTAGAATAATGAAATAATTAGTGAAATATGCCTGATAAAGATTAAACATGGACTACAGAATATGCAGCTTCGCTTGTATGGTAATAATCTTTTTAAGAAATTCGTACACTCATTTATATCTATGTCTATTTATCTAGAACAGACTTATTCGAGCTTCAGGATAGCAATAAGCTTTTCATGTGAATATATTTTGTGGCAACTGTTCTCCTATCCTTGATTTACAGTAAGTCCTCAGCTATTATCAATCTTCGATTATCACCAACAACAGTTTGCCATTTTTCAAAACTAAATAAACAATTAATAATGGTTTTTCTCTATTCACTCGCTTCAAGATTGATTCTCTAGTTTTGATTGAGAAATCAGAAACACTGGAGTTCAACTATTTTAGGATTTAGACGTGTATCACTGATGATATTAAACGATTGTCATGCTATGTTGTAAACTGATTTATATTGGGAATGTAAATCATTGGATTTCGGAAACTAAAATACTAGTCGAAACAATATCAATTCCTTTACTTTGTCACATAAGTGGTTTAGTGTGTACAGCAATTTAGAGAACATTTTTGAACCTGTATTTGTTCATCCAACTCACACCCAAAAAAAGAGATCGATTTAACCTCAAGTTTTTATATGACTATTAACTTATTTTCAAATAGGAAACCTTGGGTCGATATAGCTGATTTCTTCATGCTTCTTTTTCATCAGTGAAGTTGAAGTTGTAAAACGATTAGTTTCTTTCATAATTCTCGATGATGTAATAAGAAGATGTGATGTGATGTGACGAATTAAAACTATACAATGAATGATCTGATCAAACATACTTGTCAAGGTATTCATATTTGAAAACTAATAGAAGTCCTTTACGAAGTGCGTAACTGTCCTCAGTGTCTTTTCTGGATTTAATGTCCTACATGATTATCAGTTAGATGATGGCTATTGGGTATCGATCGTATTTAAAAAACTACTAAAAACCAGGAACCACCATACAACTGTTTGGTTTTGGTCTTGGATTAATCAGCTGTATGCACCAAAATATTGAAACTGTGACCGCTATTACTTTTACTGCTAGAACTTATCCATAAGGACCAATGTCTTAGCTTTAAATGTTACTTATTTCCAACTTCAATCAGTTCAGAATAAAGCGGGATCAACGTTAAAGCTACTACTGACGAGTATGTCAGTCATTACTCGTCTAGGCTCTACCGGTCAATACTTATCAATATAAATTCCATAAACCATCTCAAAGCATACCATTTGATTGTGTTATCCATAGGGGGCCACACCCGGAGCCTTCGACCTAAAGGTCTGATCCACAAGGCAGTGGTCCATACATCATTTATTCCTCCAGGATACTGGAGCCCATATGCACAATTGGTTTAGAATCAGGGTTTCCCAACTCCCATAGGTGGACTCTCCGTGTCCACCAACCCGGTTCAAGGGACAGACATTCGCTTTCCGTCCTCTCAATTTCGTAAACAACACCACCGCCGTGATGAGAAGTCGGTGAGTAGGACTTCTGTGACAGTAGTTGTATGCACGTGGTCATGTGAGAGCATTTGGAGAGGGGGAGCTGACTCTCTCCACTCTCGTCCGTATCAGTGCATTTGGAAGCTAACCATTATAAAATCACTCCACCTAAACTATTATTATTGAGTAACAACCACAAATCAGCAACAACATTATGTTGATATTTTCAATACCAATCAAATGTACTCCCAGTCGTAAAACAATTCATTTGTTTATCTCCACATTTTTAACTTTTTATTAATTTAAAATATGAAGAGTGTAGACTTTCTGGTTTCATTTTTTGAAAACCGTTTTTTTATTATAATCTCAGTGGATTTCTATACCATTCGCTATGGTTAATGAAGCAACAGTGCCAATTACACAAACATGGGATAAATGGAAAGGTAGTGTTGATCCAATGGATAGCTTCTTTTATGTGGACAACTTATTGATGTTAATTTTTGGTGGTATACCTTGGCAAGTTTATTTTCAGGTAATTTCTCTAGTATTTCTAGCTTGTAAAGTATTTACAGTTTGAATTTATCAACAATATGCTATATTACAACTTATATATACGATATAATATACAAGTTACTGTTTGTTTGGTAATTTAAAGACCATACATCGTGGTTCAATTCGTTCGAAGTTATCTTTATGTTGCATTAAGGACAGGAATATTGATTTTTTCATTCTTACAAATACAACTTGCTAACGAGTTCCAAATAAGACGAAACTAAGGTTAAGGACTTTCTTTACATTGTATTTTAACGACTATTTAATACAAATAGAATTAAACAACATGAATGGTACAAAACTACGCTGTAATGGATTTTAAAGCTAGATTATGAACTGCTTTAGGTTAATGGTTTTAAGCAAACATCTATTATTCCAACCAAATGCAAGTTTGTCCTCCTTAATATCTTCTTTATCAGCATTTCTTTCGAATAAATGATCCAGAACTTCATGGTTTTTCGTTACCTTGTTATGCCAGAATGTATAAAACTGAAATTAATATAATAAGAAAATATGGTTCATGAAAGTTTTATCACTTCATCAATTAATTTACTAGGTTTGCTTAAAGTACTTATTAGGAAGACAGAATAGAATTTCAACATGGAACAACTAACCTCTCTTGCAGTATTTTTTTCGGTAAATATTTAACATATATGGAAAAGCTTGATGAAATTGTAGCTTAAATTTATTTTCGAACTGTTTCCCATATTCACGGTTGTTGGTGTTTAAGCAACTCACTGCTTTATTGTTTAAAAAATACTGAGTATAGCTTTACAGTTAGAGTCATAGTAATACAATTAATACTAATGTTAGATAATTCAACTTTCCCTCACCGTAAATTAATGTAAAAGATAAATCAATAAATAATTCACTTGGTGTTGTATTACCTGTATCTTCTCATCGTTATTTAGAACTGCAATCGATCAGTCTCTTGTTGGCATATGTGCATCCTGTGCGGATTGCCTCGATATAGCTTAATTCACAAACTTTGTAAGCAAAGATGGATAGTGGCTAGCAGTGGAATCCAGGACGCACGTTTCATCCCGGAGTGAACATCAAGTCTCAGATACAGGTACATCGAGTCCCAAATAGGACGAAACGCGCGTCCTCAATTCCACTGCTAGCCACCATTTATCAATGTAGAATGTCTAAAATAATTAGTTCCTTTCATAAATTTAAAAAGAACCAAGTTATACACTAGCACAGTGCATTTCTATCAATATGATCACACATATACTTGTTAACAAAACTGTAGGTATGAAAACTTTACACATGTGTGCTGCCACACATGCATAAGGAGTAGTCGAGATTTGTAAGTTAGGGTCTTTAAACATATGTCAAAATAGTTACAGAAACAAATAAAATCAAATGACCCAATAATAACAGATGATAAACACCCAATTTCTACTGCTAAACATGTAGTTCGAACACATTATAACACTGACCTTAACTCAACCTTTGTGGTTTGTGAAAAGTTAATAAAATCTTGAGAATTCAAAACCAATATATGTATTCATGAACACTATCAGAAGGGGTTTTGTTGAGATTGTAGTAATTTCGGTGGTTGAGATCATGAGTCAATTGAAGCTAAACCACCATGGAAAATCTGGATGCACTGGACGGCCGTTCCGTCTTATTTTGGGACTCCTCAGTACTGCGCATCCACGATCCCGCCCCACGAGATTCGAACCCAGGACATATCAGTCTCGCACGCGAGCGCTTAACCACTAGACCACTGAGCCGGCTAGCATCCAACGTTGTTATCACATAACTCTAGTAATCTTTGTCTGAATAATTAATCAATATCAATATTTCACTTATTGCTAAGTACTAAATGTGCAATATCACCGCAAATTATATTGTGTTATTGTGTGGATAATAAATATTCACTGTATATTGAAAGCTCATAACTTATGATAGTTTTTTTCTTATCAATCAAACCAGCGTGTACTATCTTCAAAAACTGCAAATCAGGCACGTATTTTAAGCTTTGTAGCTTCAGTCGGATGTTTTGCTATGGCAATTCCTTCAGTTTTAATTGGAGCTGTTGGAGCAAGTACAAGTATGTGAATATTTACTTAGTATATACTTAAATTCATATTACATTTACTCAGCAAAATTTCATATGTGCTCTTCATTGACTAACTATTTCATAATAAATCATATTGAGCAATGGGTACTCCTTTCACCTCAGTATGAGTACCGTCCAATAGCAGACACATTTAACTGAATCAAGCTGTCTTCAAGTTTCATAGCCCTTATGATCCCTTTAGAACCCAATAATCAATCTTTAAGAATTGTTGTCATTGAATGACTGTATTTAGCCCAGATTCTTTAATGTAAACTTATCTTGAAGACAAACTTTAATCAACATACTATTTTCATAGTTTTATAAAGGAACTGATATAGTGACAAAAATTTTTTTCGTCATGGAGTTAGTATACTGTGTTCAATCTCTTCAGAGTTTATGCATACATGTGCATTGCTTAAAAGTCTTAAAATATGTCTCAATAACTGTCTAGTTCTATCTGATTGTCAGTTGTATTTCTGTGAATGTGAACTATATTCCAAAAAATACCTTAGTGAATAATAATTTTGGTAATAATAATGATGATAATAATAATAAAATATGTTTTCATTAATTCAGAACAAGCTAGCTAAATGATAAAATAAATAAATAGTTGCTTTACTTAATTATCATGAATATAAACTAATTTCAGAAATCATGAATCAAATGATGTTGGACAACCATTGAAAACCTGGAAACAGTGGACGGATCCCTCGAGCGGGAACGTGGATGCGCACTGCTGAGGAGCCCCTTAATAGGACGAAACGGTGGTCCAGTGCTTCCAGGTTTTCAATGATGGTATAACATCAATCGGTTTATGATCTCAATCAAAAACTTAATAATCTCCACAACCCTATACTAATAATTTCAGAAAACTTTCTAAATTTAATTAAATTCACTATCGTTAATATAAGAAGAAACTAAAATTATACTGTGTAATTAAAAAGCAGTGACTTAATTAGATTAATCAATGAAGGAAATGAAACTTTACTAGAAATACACTGCTTATGCACTACAAATTCGGCTTCCTCATTAGTACTTTTATTTTCCTTTAAACAAAGTCTTCATTTATACTGAGTTGTTAATTGGATGCTCAAGGAAAAACTGTAGCGTTCATTTTTTTTAAAAGCGTTGAACAAAGAATTGGTACTAAGCTTTTTTTAAAAATTCTTTCATTCATTAAATTATTTGAAATAGACCCTGTGAAATGGGTAATTATTATTCTTTTTGACTGAGACCATAAACTAATTGATGTTAGACTACCATTGAAAACCTGGAAGCACTGGACGACCGTTTTGTCCTATCGTGGGACTCCTTATTAGTGCACATCCACGATTTCGCTCATGGGATTCAAATCCAGAGCCTTCGGTCCCACGCGCGAAGACTGAACCTCTGGACCACTGGGCCGGCCGACATTCAACGATGTTAATGTCTAACTTCAACCAATCCACAAAATTACGCGACCATCTTCCAATGTCTTCAGTTAGTTACTACGTTACAACAGATCCGGTTGAACTCCACTAGAACTTTGAGAATTCTCTCACGAAGCTAGTCACTAGTGAGCACATAGTAATTATCAGTATGAGGTTATGAAGATTATTCAGCTAAATATTTTCGTAGAGATGCTATTTTGTTCAGAAAACATCAAGTTTTACTTGAGTGTACAATAATTTACAAAATGACTTGTTCATTTTGACGATAGAATCCTTTTAAACTGACTGACTGAATGAGTTAATATCAGAAAAGGGTTCTGTGGAGATTTTAGTAATTTCAATGGTTGAGTTCATAAGTCAATTAAAGCTAGACCACTATGGAAAACCTGGAAGCACTGGATGGCCGTTTCGTCCTAGTATGTGAGTCTGCAGCAGTGCGTATCCACGATAACAGTGAATCATTTAAAACACTTTGTAAGGATGATGCGGATATTATTAACTTCATTACAAATGACTGACATAGAAGTATGAGATGCTTCACATAGTAATAAAAGTGATTACATCTATACAATTTATAAATGTATGCGTTTATCCAATCAATTCAACTGAAGGTCAGTAGGATGGCAGTAAATCAACATCATAAAATAATAACTCAGAAGCCGACCTCAATTAAATTGGTCTAATTATGCATAAGCTTATTCCTATGAAAATTTATTCTGATAAAGTAAATGAATTTAAAGTCATCATATTGTATAAAGTTGATTATCATGACTGCAAAATGATTTCATGTAAATAATAATCAAATGGTTAAATAAGATATTTGTCGATATATATGTTTTAGAGTTAAAGGGTTCCTATTAATTCTAGTATGCTTACTTAATGAAGCGAACTATCAGTCGGCAAATACGACATACACGCTTTTCGGAACTGACTAGCTCACTATACAACACTGTGGTTGAAATTCGCCATGGTATAATACATTAGAAATACAAACATAAAAGTCTATCTCACTCTATCCTAAGATCCCAAATGTTCCCAATCTTTGATAATGATGAACATTATAGTTTGTCTTACCAGTTGGGTTGAATTTTTCTCCTAATACTGTTCAGCGAGTAAACTTTCAAATTTAAATATCAGTCATATTTATTTGGTTGTAACATTAAGTTGAGTAATTGTATAATATTTAGTGCAAACAGCTAAATTCGCTTATCGATTGACACTAAGATTTTATCATCATTATATTACGAAGACAATAATTATATCTATCTATCCATCAGTTGAAAACCTTTAAAGTAATCTCATTTTCTATTAAATTGAGAGGTCTGCTAGGCTAGTTGAATAAGACTATCCACACAAATATCGGGTTGACCAACTTGACATAAAAATTACCTACTAAAAACGAGCTATTTAAAAGTTCTTCAAATTAATATGTAGTTTGAGACAGAAAGAACCCTGGAACTTAAATTTTATATTGTCTGGAACTTATGAGCAAGGCATCTTGGAACTCTCGAGGAAATTGACCATCATGGATTCACTCAGGTCACGAGCGACCCATTATAGAATTAAGATATTCACATATCAATTATCAGTAATTAGTGACCAATATTATGTTTTCTAGTTGGAGACATTCACAAAGAAAATATCTGAATTCCATCCCTCCCACTAATTGCTTTAACACTAGTTAAGATAGCTTCAGGAAAATGGAACGATAAATTTGTCAGTTTGATGTTTACAATATAAGGGTAATTCCTTGTAAATTAATATATTGTTAATAAAAATAAATTTCCTATAAGCCCGCTTGTTCTCGAAATATAGCAGAAGTACCACAGTACATAGGAGATTGACTTTAAAAAGATTCAAGCTTTGCTTTACTCAATTCTGTATGAGCAACTGACTAGTGTTTTCTGATTGCACATGACAACTATTGTATTAACTTATTAAATCTGATTTGTCAATTTTCAAGTTGAGAATAATAGTTTCAGATTAAATACCGTTTTTTTGTTGTTCTTTTCCATAAACAGATTGGACAATGACAAATTATAATACAACTTCAGAATTACCGGGTACACCAGAAGAAATGAAATTAATTCTACCATTAGTATTACGTTATCTATGTCCACCATGGATATCATTTGTTGGTTTGGGTGCAGTATCAGCTGCTGTCATGTCTTCGGCAGATTCATCAGTTCTATCCGCTGCATCAATGTTTGCTAGAAATGTTGTCAAAGCGATATTTTGGCAAAAAGCTAGTGAAAGACAAGTTTTATGGATAATGCGTGCAAGTATATTTGTTATTGGAGCATTTGCATGCTGGTTAGGTATTAGTATTCAATCAATTTATGGTTTATGGTATTTATGCTCAGATCTTGTCTATGTTATTTTGTTTCCACAACTGATTTGTGTTCTATATGTTAGATTTTCAAATACTTACGGTTCGTTATGCAGTTATTTGATTGGTTTATTTGTTCGACTAACTAGTGGAGAAAGTGTATTGAAATTGAGACCATTAATTGCTTATCCTTATTTTGTTGATGATCCAAATGACTTTTATCAACGATTCCCATGTAAAACATTTGCTATGCTAATCAGTTTTATAGTTAGTGTCTGTATTTCCTATATCACAGATATTTATTTTCGAGCTGATTCAAAACGTCTGAAATATGATTTATTTCATTGTTATAAAGAACGTCAATCCATGACAGGTTCAATACGTATTGGGAATCGTTTTAATCGACCATCAATTAGAACTACACGATTACCGCGTAAAGGTGAAAAATTAGAAGTTATTAATGATGATAATATACAAGAATTAGAAACAATGCAAATAGTAACAAGCGCTATAACTGTAACTACAACTACTGTATCTAATGCAAACAATCTAAACCCATATAAACCAGTGGAAATAGTTTCAATAAATAAATCAATACCAAAGAATATCAATGATAGTCTTGATTGAAAGTAATTCACTCACTATAATATTGGCAAGCAGTTTTCAAAAGAATTACCACCAAAACCATCAAAAAAGAACGAAATCATTTCTCTTTGCATACATTTAAACAAATAGCTTACAATAACAGAAAATAATAATAATAATAATTCCATTTGTTATTTTTTTTCTTTCAAATGTATTCCAATCTGTTTATTTAACATTTCATTTTAGCCTTTTTATTTTGATTGTTTATTACCGTTGAAATTTTATTTATCTAAACATAATTGTTTATTTGTTTATTTATTTGTAAACACTAATTATAAATAATAATAATAATAATACATGAATGATTTATTTATTTTGATCGTGAATTATCTTTCCAGTGATCTTTTACACCTTCTAAATCAATCAAATTTTAAGGTTGTGATCATTAGAAATTATTTTTAAAAAAAAAAAAAGAAAAACACCCCCAAATCAAATCAAAGTTGTGATCATCTTTAATTCAGATCATTATTATTATTATTCGTTCTTTTTTTCTTTTCTTTTCTTTTCTTTTTTTTTATTTGTTTATTTTAATGATTATAGTTAATAGTTGTGAATAGAAATGGATTATTTATAATAGAGAATTGAATTTAGTTTTTATTTAATTAATTAATTAATTAATTATTTATTTATTTATTCATTCATTGTAATCATAACATTGTTGATTGTTTAATGAGAACACATGTTCAATGAATGAATTCATCAGGTAATTTAATTAATCATTATTACCGAGTGTTTATTTTATTTTCTTATTGTTTCACTAACCAATAAGGAAGCTTTTGTTGTGTTTATTTATTTATTTATTTATTTATTTAGTTTGTTTGTTTTCTAGAAAGAAAAGGAAGAAAACAAAAAAATCCTCCAAATAATCTATATTATTAATTAATTAATTTATTTATTTATTATTATTATTATCTGTCTTCTATTATCATTGGTTGTGAATTTTTATTGATTGATTGATTATGATACTTATTCTATTGTTTATTGTTTTGGTTAATTGTACTATTCATTACATTATTCAATGTTATTATTTGATCTATATAGATTGGCTTATGATTTACAATAATTCATATAGAAATGTTATAATATTATTTAAATCTTCATTGAATGTATTTATTATGAAGTTAAATATGAATTAATCTTTATAATTTATGCAAACAGTACAAAATATTCATAGATACTTATTTACCGTTACTTTATATATGGAGAGAGAGAGAGAGAGGAAGAGAGACACAAAGATAAACACATTAGCAACTTATTCACTCATGTAATCAATATTACTGTTTATTGAACAGACAATAAAGTCTTATGTATCCACACAAAAATGGTCATGTTATTTGTGAACTATTGGTAAATTATGTTTGTATTTACAATACTCATCAACCTGATTCTGGATATTAAAAGAGATCTGTAAATTTAGAATGGTCACAGACAAATTAACATCTCGCATTGTTACCATGCTACATTAGACCATTGAGATAGAATAATAGGAGGAATAGCAAAGAATTTAAAACCATAATGGTAATGAGAATTATAAAATAAAATGAATTGATAAAACATATTGTTTAAAAAGAAGGAATGAATTCATATAGGGAGTGTATGAAGTTAAATTCATATTTAAAAATTTCAGAGAAAATCAAAAATACGTCTGTCTGTGTTATTTCAACCGATTCTAAGTCAAGTCACCTGAACATTTTAAATACTGACCATATGTATCACACAGACTCTTTTATAAGGAGCCTCAAGATAAGGCTCAGTGTATCGATTTGGCCTACCCTAGCTTTCCTTAAGTTTTATTCTAAGCCACACAACACTGTGAAATGAAATAGGTAATATATAAGTCTACATAATACGTACTACATGTAGAAGCAGAGGTGATAGTGGCTAGCAAAGGAATTCAGAACGCGCGTTTCGTCTTATTCGAAACTCGTCAACTTCCTATAATGCTTCTGACTTAAAGCTATATTGAGGCGATCCGCGTAGGATGCAAATATGCCAAAAAGAGACTGATAGATTGTATACCTATCCATCAATGGGGAGATTCAAGCAACCAATACAAAAATGAATTATACTGTTTTTAATGTACGCGTTTTAAAATTCCCGTTTTCCTTATTTATGATTAAAGTGATTAATTTCTCACTTCAACAAGTCCGCGATATTGAGGATTAGTTGAAGTTAGACATCAACACCGCTGGATGCCGGCAAGCTAAGTGGTCAAGAGGTTAAGCGCTCGCACGCAAGACTGATAGGTCTTGGATTCGAAACTAACGGGGCAGGGTCGTGGATGCGCACTGATGAGGAGTCCCATACCAGAACGAAACGACCGTCCAGTGCTTCCAAGTTTTCCATGGTGATCTAGCTGCAATTGACTCATGAATTCAACTATAAAATTAGTACAATCTTCACGATATCCCTTTCTGGTTAATTTCTATTATTAGATCGGATTCATTACAATTTTTATCATCTAACAACGAAATATGTATAACATATCTCCTTTTACTTATGACTCATCAACAGCAATTAACTTCAGTCTAATTTTAAGAACATATGGAAAAGGAAATATCTATATATTCACAATAGAAATAATAAGTCATGAGAATGAGAAAATTAATGATTGTCAGGGCTCATTAGAACAGTGGATAACGACTTGACGATTGAAAATCAACTCTATGAGTTTAAATCTCTTTGATATTATCAACACTCATATAAATGTTTAATTAGTTGTTTGATATTTAGTTCACTTACATGATTTCATTAATGAACTAATTTAATCAGCTGGTTTTTGAATGATCACCGTAGTTCTATTTTAGTCAACCACCGTTACGTATCGGCTGTAATATGCGTACAAAAGAAGTACGTCCCATCGTTATCATTACCTTGACCTTTATTATTATTATTATTATTATTACTGCATTTCCCCCTTTACTTATGTCTCATATTCTCACTTTTTAATTTGTAACTGATCACGACATCATTTTATTTATATTTTACATCTCTATGACCTTTAATGACCTTTAATTATTATAACAAAAACATTTTATTCATCTTAGTACATTCACATTATAATTCCTTACTAAGTCTATGGTTATTATTCGTATTACATAATCTAGTATTATAATCTTTCTATTACATCATCTTAGTTATTGGTTGTTCATATTTCCTTACGAAACTAGTACTTTAACAAAAAGATTTTCATATATGTACGATTGTACAGCGTGATAATAAATTCGTTGAAAAAAGATCCTCTCGTTATTTAAACTAATTATAATGTCCATTATTATGAAAACCAAAATCAATAAATAATCATATCACTTTTCGATTCAGCTATTTAAACACTATAACGTCTATCCATTATGAATGAATCACTCGTGCCAGATATTGACCCATATTCGTTACCGGGTTTTACGACGTTTTGCAATTTCTTAATACAGTAGAAAAAGTGCAAGAATAACAGGTAGCACATGATCTAATAGCCATTGAACATAAAAATATATGGTATTATTCTTAATGGCTTTATTTAATATTATATTTTGGTACAATATAGAATTCTCAGCACAGGGTATTCCAACAAATTTCTTATACAAAAAAAGAAAAACAAAGACAAAAAAAGAAAAAGACGTTTTAAAAAATCTGAAAAACTGTACAACTTTTCAAATTAGAGACATGTTAAGAATGCAGGTTATTGACTAGGTTAACTCTAACAACCTGTTCGTCACAGAGTATATTTGCTGGGTATTATAGAACTTTTATACTTTTGCTTGAGTGCTTTGATTTTAATGTAATTACGTCTCGTTCTACCAGAAGATATACAAGGAGAAAGATATGAGTGAAGGGGATGGTTAGTATCTGATAAAATAACACCTGTCAGGAGTTTGCAAAACTTCAGATGTCTATCCACAACCATATTAATTATGACCTCGAAAGATTCACCACACACCTTGCAATCGCCTTCAGCATTCTCCACAATACAGCAAAGTCTTTTCTCAAAAGCCCGAGAAAGAATAATGGAGAACAGTAAAGAATAATAGGAAATATGCAAGAATTGACAAATTGTAAGAGTAAATGACGAGTAATCCCAAGAGCATGCAACCTCTTTATGTAGTAATTCAGACGGAATACCTTCTTCGATAACAACAAAACGTGAGAAGACCAAGAGAGATCAGATCTTCTTATGGTAATGAAAACGAAAGAGCAATTTGCCTCCGTAACTACTTCATACTCAAGAAGACATGGTAATCACTGGGAAAAAACAAAGTCTACCTATCAATCAAAAGAGGAAAATAATAAGTGTATAACAATGTACACAACAATCGTTCATAAGTTACAACAATTTATTTTCCGGTGTTATGTATACTGTAACGTTGTGGTAGTCAAACGAGCGGATTACAGTGTGATTAAGCAATGCACCAATTTCTTGACAAAAGCTAGCTTTGTGTTCTATCATTTTATTGTCGGTGTTGTAGATCTTCTTACTACCTACCACCTCCATGAAATCCATCACAATATATCTCAATACATCTCTTTGCTGCTTTACGATCAGAAGGAGAAGATGGCTGATCAAATCTCAGTTATGGCAGGATTAAATATGCATGTCGTCCTTATAGGATAGCTAACCAACAAAATTTTGTTTCAGAGTTCTTACAAAAAGACAAAAAGAGGATGTTTCGCCATTCACATTACTAATCCATCTCTTTGTGTCTTTAATGCCAACCACTTTTAATTATCTAGTGGAGCAATCAGCTTACTTACGTAGGTGTACGTATTCTCTCAATTTTGACTGAAAATGAGATTTTAACTTATGTATATTTTTGACAGTCTACGTATCTACTACTATATGCGTCTGTCTATTTCAGTCTGTTTAAATCACTAAGCTAGAATACTGGTGGAAGCTCGGACACTCAGAACTTCTAATTTGTGCAGAGCATTGCAAACAGTATAAAGACCTTGTCTTTGGGAAATTGTGACAATATACAACACAAAATTGTTTCATGATTGATTTCATCATTATTACTGATTTAACTAGACTTTGTAATCTTCAGTACCACCTTAATGTCTTAAATACAAACAGCGTGGGATAACATACAAATTTGACATAAATAATTATCTTCCTAATTCGTAGTTTTAGTCCAGCAAATTTGTTCTCGTTTGAAGGGTTATTGTTATCTCCATATCCCACCTATTCGTTCCTACAATGATGCGTTTGGACATAT